ACTTTCAGCCGAACCAAAAGTGAGTTGTCTTAACTCTGGGTATAAAGGGACTCTACTCGAAGCGAACGGGTCGAATGGTTCCGCGAAATGCCGCGAATGTCATGAACATTCGCCGGGGCGAGTTCGGACGAGTTTGTTATTGTTGACGACTTTCTAAAATTCCATTTGTCCAATTTGTCCATACCTTGAGTGGGAGTGATGAGTAGAAAACAGATATACACCTGTACCAAAAATTGTCTCATTCTCGTAGTCGTTCTACAAATTCTACAATTCAACAGTTAGCTATCGTTAAGTAGTCAGTAAGTAATGAGGATTTTTCTCCTAGTATCTTGTCTTCTATCTTTCTATCTATTGTAGAGGTTTGCTTTGATTCTCAGGTGTATTTTTCGAATCAAAAGTAAGTGACTCAAATTGGTACATATTCCTGAGGAATTTTTTCCGTATTCTCATCCGTGTTTTTACTTTCATGAACTTTGGTTTGTTGGAATCCTAGACTCCTGCTCATTCTTATTGTATGTATATTCAATAATTACTCGCAGTATAGGAATAGTCAGTGCGCAGGCGAATGTCCGACATAGTTTAAGGAATTATGTAGTAGCAAGCCAATGTCACAAGTGACTACGCAATAAGTGAGGACATGTGACATCGCAGTTCTCATGCGACAAAGTTGCCTAAGCTGTCATGTCAATGAAGACGGTGCAAATGATTCATTCAAATTGTTTTACCCTGTGGATTAAATGCCACCAACATTGGTAGCCTTGGACGAAAGAAAGTCCAAAGTAGATCTTGATGAATGGCTTTCTTGTGCTCAGCTACAGCAGGATATGAGTTTTAATCAAACTCTTTTCAAGATTAATTGTATTTGTCCTCCATTTCCTCCCTTGGCCAAAGAAACAAACCAAGAATGCCTCTTTAATCAGTATGATCTCGCATTTAACAATCACCTATCACAAAGGGGATAAACTAAAGTTGTGGCAGGTGTAAGTAATAAATCTTTTAAAGTTAACATATCAGGAAGTCTGAGAGAATGTAGGTATGGAAAATTTGGCTAAGTATTATCATTCATAACTATTGTTGAGATGAGATGAGAAGTAGGGCTGAGTGGCGGTTTCATGATTCCCAAAGAATTATTGACAGTGTAACTACTAGACCACGTAGCTCAGTTTGTGAGGTCGCAGACTTCCTGTGATTCTTTATCTTCTAGATGGAAAACTACTCAAGGTCAATTCTTGAAAACTTCCATGACTTTTCTTCTCTGCGTGAAGAAAAATCTGTGAAAACTTCAAGGAATGATATTGGTTTGTTCTTTTTCACAAAAATTAAATGGGATTGGAGATTTTTAAACACCGCAAGCGAGATACGTGGTATGGTAGTTTCACTGTCGATATGTTGGTATATAGTAAATTAGATGGAGATTCACAGTGCAAACAGACTTGGAGCTTGGATGTCCAACTGACAAAATTAGTTCAATCTTTCAGTTCCCTCCTGGAGTGTATTTTAAGCCATATCTTACTCAAAATGACCAACATTCCAATTTTTCAACAGTAATCACTCAACTCATTTATTCCCATAAATATTTTTCATAACTGTACTTCAGAGAATTTAAGAAAATTATGAGCAATAGGTTCTTGCTCGTCGTGTGTTAAGACAGAAGTCAAATAATGTTTTTGTCGCCATCCACCAATGGTGCCATCTGATTGCATGTATCACCCGTCAATGGTGCTAATTTGGAGGTGATCAGTGCAAATGGACTTTCAGCTTGGATATCAAACTTCTCAACATACGATGAGCAAGCTCTTCTTCTATTTCAAAAGGTATTGAACCTTAAAGAATTATTCATTTTTGACTGTAGTGTGTATAAGTAATTGAGATTGTACTCAACCTTTCAGGATGGACAACAGAGCGTTACAAGAAGATGAACTTTTAGTCCTGGAAAGTATTTACAATTCAGATGAATTCAACAGAACTGAACATTCAAACTTGCTGGGTGGCCGTCTTCATATTTACCATGAACTTCCGAAGGATTTTAAAATCATCGTAAAGAGATACACGCAATCACCTAATATTGGTGAGAAAATGCATTGGTGTTAATCAATTCATTCCTGCTGCCATGCAAACCTTTTATTTTTTCTTTGGCTGATGAATCTTTTAGATTAATGTGTCTTTGAAAGGTTCAATACTACTGTTCAGTTTTTCAAATGTCAGACAGAGTGAAAACACTCTTGATTCCACAGGATGTATTATTCCCCTTGCTTCATTCAAATTTTTAGGAAGTAATAGTCTGATTTTCTGTGTAGCATCCAAGTGGTCTGTAATTTGACGTTTCTGCACCAGACACCCTATAATTAAGAAATTGAATAAAGAGAGCAAATAGTTCTAGCCCTCTGTAATTCATTAATGAATGATCACAAATTGTAAGTTTGCAGGTGCCAAAATCCCCCCCCCCAAAAAAAAAAAAAAATCTATTTGCGTCCACAATTGTTGGATCATGTCCTTCATTTGGTCTGACCAGCCAGTTGCGGGGTCGAGAACTCTTTGCATCCCTAATGATGAAGTTTAAAAAACACAGAGACTTTCTTATAATCTTTGTCTCAATTTTTTTCTCACTTACACTTGGTAATTTGAAATCTTATCAAGTAATATAAAACTCATCAGGTGGACAAAAATCATAAGTCACACTAACTTATATCTCAAGTGGATTCGATAAACTTCTTTGGAAGAAACACTATAGCTTCTTATGGTATTTTCTCCCCACTCTCTCATACCTATAGATTTACTGTTCCTGTTGTCATGATTCTTGCAAGTTATTCACCCTCTCCATGTCTGCAATTTTTCATTTTTGTTTGGTACATTCAGCAAAAGGAATGGATCTAAAGCTTGTCAGTACAAGACTGAAGATGTATCACAGGGGACAAATAGTTCTTGTCTACATGACTATCAGCCAGGACCAAATTGTGGACATTGAAAGGTTTAATTTAAGGCGGCGACACTCATGAGACCTCTCTTTGGATTTTATCAAGTTGCTTTGCTTCCCTCAAAATTCCTCTGAATCACCCATTGTGAACTACCTGTATTTACCTCAAGCCTTCAGTTATTAGTTCATCTTTCTGTACCATCTTTTTTCAGAGTACCGGGAACTAATTGTATCCAAAGTACCTCCTTTAGAGGTGGACTTCACACTGCCGCTAAGATATCCTTCAGAATCACCACCAGATTACACAATATCTTGTCTATGGCTCACTCCTAAAATGGTAAAAATTTCTCTCGTTACTTCTTGCTGTAGACCTCCCCCCC